ACTCTTAAGGGACACTCTTGTGAGACACACTTGTGGGGCACTCTTGTGGGGCACTCTTGTGGGACACTCTTGTGGGGCACTCTTGTGGGACACTCTTCTAAGACACTCTTGCGGGACACTCTTATAGGACACTCTTGCGGGACACTCTTGTGGGACACTCTTGCGGGACACTCTTGTGGGACACTCTTGTAGGACACTCTTGTGGGACACTCTTGTGGGACACTCTTGTGAAACACTCTTGTAGGAAACTTTTGTGGCATACTCTCGTAGGACACTCTTGTAGGACACTCTCGTGGGACACTCTTGTGGGACACTCTTGTGTGACACTCTTGTAAAAAACTCTTGTGGGTCACTCTTGCAGGACACTCTTGTGGAACACTCTTACAGGACACTCTTGTGGGACACTCTTGCGGGACACTCTTGTAGGACACTCTTGTGGGACACTCTTGTAGGACACTCTTGCGGGACACTCTTCTTGTGGGACACTCTTGTAGGAAACTTTTGTGGGACACTCTTCTAGGCCACTCTTGTGGGACACTCTTGTGAGAGACTCTTGTAGGGCACTCTTGTGGAACACTCTCGCGGCACACACTTGTAGGACACTCTTGCGGGACACTCTTGTGGGACACTCTTGCGGGGCACTCTTCAAGGACACTCTTGTGGGACACTCGTGTGAGACACTCTTGTGGGACACTCTTGTGGGACAGTCTTGTAGGAGACTCTTGTGGGACACTCTTTTGGGACACTCTTGTGGGACACTCTTGTAGGAAACTCTTGCGGGATACTCTTGTAGGACACTCTTAAGGGACACTCTTGTGAGACACACTTGTGGGGCACTCTTGTAGGGCACTCTTGTGGGACACTCTTGTGGGGCACTCTTGTAGGACACTCTTGCGGGGCACTCTTGTACATTGTAGGACACTCTTGTGGGACAATTTTGTGGGGCACTCTTGTGGGACACTCTTGTAGGAAACTCTTGTGGGATACTCTTCTAGGACACTCTTGTGGGACACTCTTGTAGGACGCTCTTGTGGGACACTCTTGTAGGTCATACTACTACTACTACTACTACTACTACTACTACTACTACTACCACGACGACGACTACGACTACGACTACGACTACGACTACGAGTACGACTACTACTACTACTACTACTACTACTACTACTACTGACAACTGCAGCCTTGCGCTTGTCGATGCGTCGTCAAGCGCCACTGTGTCAATGACCGCGTCAAGCAAAACCGCCTCACTGCACACACCTTGCGCGCTCTCCGTCAAGTCTCCAAAACCAGCGTTTCGTACGAGACTTCCTCCAAAAGTCACACGTCAAGTCTCCAAAACGAGCGTTTGCGCCAGCGTGTTTCGCGCTCCCCAGTGGCACGGCACCACGTAAACGCACTTTCCACCAAAGCCGCGCAAACCCCAATGGCACTGCGACATCACGAACGCCGCGTCGCCACACGGTCTCCCTAACATAGAAGCAAACGTGTCACACCACGCCGCGCAAACGTACTTTCCACCAAGGCTGCGCAAATCCCCATGGCACTGCGACATCACAAACGTCGCGTCGCCACACGGTCTGCCCACACACTAGAAGCAATCCTGCGAGCGTTTCGTACGAGACGTCCTCCAAAAGTCACGCTTCGAGGCTGCAAGACGAGCGTTTCGTACGAGACTTCCTCCAAAAGTCACGCGTCAAGTCTCCAAAACGAGCGGTTCGTACAAGACTTCCTCCAAAAGTCACACGTCAAGTCTCCAAAACGAGCGTTTCGTACAAGACTTCCTCCAAAAGCCACATGTCAAGTCTCCAAAACGAGCGTTTCGTACGAGACTTCCTCCAAAACTCACATGTCAAAGTCTGCAAAACGAGCATTTCGCACGAGACTTCCTCCAAAACTCACATGTCAAAGTCTGCAAAACGAGCATTTCGCACGAGACTTCCTCCAAAAGTCAAGCGGAAACACCCATCGGAGCACACACATCACGCAACCCTGCCAAGCAATTTCGCGAGTCCAGCCCCTCCAAATGCGACAGCGACATTCGCCTCTACCACAACTCACGACCTCACGATTCCCTGCCACACGTCTAACGCGCGCAAAGTATACTGCGCCTGCCACGAAATGTCACCTCCGTCACGCAACCTCACGACTCCCTGCAACTGCCACGAAAATCGCACTTCCACACCTCAAAATCCGCACAAAGTACTGCGCCTGCCACGAAAAGTGACAATATCATCTCATGTGAGCTCCAACATAATTTGCACCACACCACACGTTTGGAATTATTTCGACCCGTTCTGAGCACACTCCCATCCACCAAAATCGCCATTTCAGCTGAGACTTGTCACTAAAACAGAGCTTCGATGCCACACCCTGAAACGCAAATCCCAATGGCACGGCCACATCCAACACCCCAAAAACACGACTCTCCAAACGCTAGTCCCAATGGAACTGCGCAGTAAACTGCGGATCTCACAAAACGCTGCGCCTGCGCAGTGAAATCCTCCTGCACACTTCAACATCTTACATTCCACGATTCCTCGCTACTTCACACGAATCTGACACGTCACGTTTTCATCCGAAACCCTCTCCAAAAGCTTCCCCCAATGGCAGCGCGTTAGCATCCTACTGCGGACGGTTGCGAACGGTTGCGGACGGTTGCGAACATAGAAACAACGGGTCGCGAGCAAGGCTCTACCCCCAGACCCCCAGAGTTAACGAGAACCCTTCGCTACGCATTCGGGAAAAATTCTGAATTTTTCTCAATCTGTTCATTCTCCGGCCTCTTGGTCCTCCTGATCACGCTCCCGTGCCCACTCTTCAGCCTTGCGCCAGGCCTCCTCGGCATCCCCCGAGTCAGACGGCAGCTTGGTGCACACCTGGGCACCACCCAACAACGACGGCCTGTCCGCCGTGAGTGTCAGTCAATCACAGCATTGCTTCAAGGGACGAAAATGAAAAATCCACCCATATCAGGCGTCTTTGCAACGTTGAAAGATAGGTGCGGCATCGCCAGCAGTGGCAAGCGCCATGCGTCTGGGTCACCTCGAGCTGCGCCGATCGGTCAAAACACTGAGCAGCTTGTCATATCAAAGTTGAGCAGTGCCTTCAGTTCCCCCACACACACACATATAGAAATGCGTACTGATGTGAATGCGGTGCCACACGCCAGCCGAGGCTTAAAAAACCTGAGTAAACCAAGGCAAAAAAGTGGGAGGTCATAAGGGTGGGGGCCATCGAAAGCAGGTTGAGGGGCCATCGCTAGTAGGTTAGGCACACAAGCTGAAAGCGACGCCAAGCAACAAGGTTGGAGGCCATCGCCAGTAGGTTGGAGGCCAGCGCTACAAGTTGACAAAAGCACCAGTAAAACAACAAGCTTAGGGTCAGTTCTAGTGCGTTGGAGGCCATCGCACCAGGTTTGAGGCCAGCGCTACAAGTTCACAAGACACAAACACAAACTTAAAACTCACCTACTGGCACGGGAAATGCCAGCGGTGTCCCGTCCGCCTGTTCAACAATCCTCCAGGGTCCCTGTGAAGGAGGCATCTCTTCGAGAAATCCCTAGTAGCGTCCTTGCACCTAGTAGTAAGGCCAGGAGCCCCTAGTAGCGTCCCACTCTAAGGTCCCGACAGGAGGGAGAGAAGAGAAGAAAGAAAAAGAAGAAAGGAAAGGAAAAGAAGGTGTTCCCAGCTACAAGCGTCCAGGGACACACCAGGGGGAGGAAGGGGACTAAGGTCCCGACAGACTCCAACGAGTTCAAGCTTCGGCCGCTGCCAAAAATGGCTGGCAGCTTTGACCGCTACGGTCACGTAAAGGCATAAGCCAGCTTAGAATTCAATACTTCAGCAAGTCCCGGCAAATAACTTTGGCGTAAGCCTACTCCGCCCGCTCTGGGCACGTACATCTCCGGGCAGGGGAGATAAAGACAAACACCCGTTCGACGGGTCCACAGCGGCCAGTCTTCGGGGTCACCATGGGCTCTCACTAAGAGAGACACACTTATAGAAATGCGTACTGATTTGAATGCGGTGCCACACGCCAGCCTAAGCTTAAAAGACCTGAGTAAACCAAGGCAAAAAAGTTGGAGGTCATCGCTCTAAGGGTGGGGGCCATCGAAAGCAGGTTGAGGGGCCATCGCTAGTAGGTTAGGCGCACAAGCTGAAAGCGACGCCAAGCAACAAGGTTGGAGGCCATCGCTAGTAGGTTGGAGGCCAGAGTACCAGGTTGGAGTCCAGCGCTACAAGTTGACAAAAGCACCAGTAAAACAACAAGGTTAGGGGTCAGTTCTAGTGCGTTGGAGGCCATCGCACCAGGTTTGAGGCCAGCGCTACAGGTTCACAAGACACAAACAAACACAAACTTAAAACCTAGAGATGAGCGGGGCGTCCCCCACTGCATCAGCACCTACTGGCACCTCTTCATGCCAGCGGTGTCCTGTCCCCTGCTCAACAATCCTACAGGATCCCTGTGATTCCAAGGGGCGCACACACTCCAGATATTGCGTACTCAACTGACTTGTGGCGCGCCACACGCCGGCCTAGTAGAACCCTAAGGGGCCAGGGAGAGTATACGTAAAGCGGTCTGAACATGAAAGTCTCCAAAGTTCGACTCCTCCAAAGTTGACAAAGTCTCAAATCTCAACAAGGCTGAAAGCGACAGAATGCAAAACTGCCGAGTGCGTAACAGGCGTAAAGGCTGGTCAACTTGTACTAGTTATGAACCGGGCCCAGTGGGAAATGAGAAGTCATCACGAAGCAGGTACGTCATCAGGCGCCTGGGATCGTATGAGGAGCTTCGTTGGATGGAGCCTCATATGTCCTGTCCATTCCCCTGCATGTTAGCAAACCATTAGATTCCCTGTGACTCCAACGGTTTCACACACACAAGCACTGGCAAAAAAAACACGACTGCGGGGGGATTCATGTCTTCAAAAACTGCGCCGAGCAGTATGCCATGCAAGCCTCGCCCATGTGTGATCATCAAGTAGATTCCGCCCACCTGGCTGCGTGCCCAAGATTGGCAAGAACTCATGTATGGATGGGGGACATGCACATCTGGTTGGTTCACTTCATTAAAGGACCACCGTCAGTGACCTTCAGCAATTCATCCAAACATGTCAGGTGGAGAGTGCATCACGTTTACTCAAGCGTTTTCGAGCGCTTGTCAAAAAAGGCTTCTCCTTGTCACATCAAACTCTGGCTGCAATTCAGTACGTCCTTTGCCGTGATATCTTCGTCTGCCAGGAACTGTCGAAGGCCATGTTGTTCCAAGTCAGTTTAAGGAAGAAAGTCATCCTCAGAGAAGTATGGTGTCAGCAGTCTGGTGACAGACCCGACCTTCAGCGCTCGCTGGATCTCTCGCAGCGCTTTGGCTGCACAGCTGAAGGGCTGTGGACGGATCAGCAGAGCATCCAAGGTGCCCTGGAAGCAAACAATTAATTTGCTACTAGTAGCTCGTTGTTATCAGTAGGGATGGCGTCCAACCTAATAGCGATTGCCGCCACCTAGTAGCTTGCTGTTACTAGTAGTGATGGCCTCCACCCCAATAGCGATGGCCTCCACCTAGTAGCTTCCTGTTACTAGTAGCGATGGCCTCCAACCTAATAGCGATGGCCTCCACCTACGCTACTGGGTGTGGACGGCGACCGGAGACCTACAGACGCGCATGCGTGTGTTGTTTTCAAGTGATGCCGGGCAGTTCCAGCTGCTGTGCTTACTGTTGCCATGTGCCGTGTCTGCTCCCAGTGCCTTTTCAGTGCCTTTTCCAATGCCTTTTCCAGTGCCTTTTGCACTTTCGCGTGGCCCTGCCAGCAAAAATTTGTTTCTAGCAAGTTTTGTGAAACAAAAAGAAAAGCTATCTCTTTTGGCAAAAAAGAAAGTGAATCACATGGCCAAATCACTCGCGCAAACCGTGAAAAGGCGCTGGAGAAGGCACTGGGAACAGACACGGAGATGGCAACAGTAAGAACAGTAGCTGGAACTGCTCTTCATTGTTGAGAACAGAAGATGAAAACACAAAGTACTACGGATGAAGCTGTTAGACTTGATACTTACAAGCCAAAAATACGCAAACGTCACACCTTTAGACGGTACTGGGTGTGGACGGCGACCGGAGACCTACAGACGCACATGCGTGTGTTGTTTTCAAGTGATGCCGGGCAGTTCCAGCTACTGTGCTTACTGTTGCCATGTGCCGTGTCTGCCCCCAGTGCCTTTCCAGTGCCTTTTCAGTGCCTTTTCCAATGCCTTTTCTAGTGCCTTTTGCACTTTCTCGTGGCCCTGCCAGGAAAAATTTGTTTCTAGTAAATGTTGTTGAAGCAAAAAGAAAAGCTTTTTTTTTAAGCCAAAAAAAGTGAGTGACATGGCAAAATCACTGGCAGGCGCGCGCAAACCGTGAAAAGGCACTGGAAAAGGCACTGGACAGGGCACTGAAAAGGCCCTGGGAACAGACACGGAGATGGCTGTCCAATGCAAAAGACATGGATTTTTTGCGTAAGAACAGTAGCTGAAACTGCTCTTCATCTGGCTTGCTTTCCTGACGTCTGCTGTCCTCGCTCGCAACGTGTCGATGTGAAAGAGTTGTTGAGCACAGAAGATGAAAACACAAAGTACTACGGATGAAGATGTTAGACTTGATACTTACAAGCCCAAAATATGCAAACGTCACACCTTTAGACGGTACTGGGTGTGGACGGCGACCGGGGACCTACAGACGCACATGCGTGTGTTGTTTCAAGCGATGCCGGGCAGTTCCAGCTACTGTGCTTACTGTTGCCATGCGCCGTGTCTGCTCCCAGTGCCCTTCCAGTGCCTTTTCCAATGCCTTTTCCACACTTTCTGGTGGCCCTGCCAGGAACAATTTGTTTCTAGTAAATGTTGTTGAAACAAAGAGAAAAGCATTCTTTTTTTAGCAAAAAAAGGTGGGCAGGCGCGCGCACACCAAGAAAAGGCACTGGAAAAGGCACTGAAACGGCACCGGGAACAGACACGGAGATGGCAACAGTAAGAACAGTAGCTGGAACTGCTCTTCATCTGGCTTGCTTTCCTAACGTCTGCTGTCCTCGCTCGCAACGTGTCGATGTGAAAGAGTTGTTGAGCACAGAAGATGAAAACACAAAGTACTACGGATGAAGATGTTCGACTTGATACTTACAAGCAAAATATGCAAACGTCACACCTGGGTGTGGACGGCGACCAGAGACCTACAGACGCACACGCGTGCGTTGTTTTCAAGCGGCGCTGGGCAGTTCCAGCTACTGTGCTTACTGTTGCCATGTGCCGTGTCTGCCCCCAGTGCCTTTCCAGTGTCTTTTCCAAAGCCTTTTCCAGTGCCTTTTGCACTTTGTCGTGGCCCTGCCAGCAACCATTTGTTTCTAGTAAATTTTGTTGAAACAAAAAGAAAAGCTATCTCTGTTTAGCGAAAAAGTGTCACATGGCAAAAACACTGGCAGGCGCGCGCAAACTGTGAAAAGGCACTGGCACTGGAAAAAGGCACTGAAAAGGCACTGGGAACAGACACGGAGATGGCAACAGTAAGAACAGTAGCTGGAACTGCTCTTCATCTGGCTTGCTTTCCTGACATCTGCTGTCCTCGCTCGCAACGCGTCGATGTGAAAGAGTTGTTGAGCACAGAAGATGAAAACACAAAGTACTACGGATGAAGATGTTAGACTTGATACTTACAAGCCAAAAACATGCAAACGTCACACCTTTAGACAGTACTGGGTGTGGACGGCGACCGGAGACCTACAGACGCACATGCGTGTGTTGTTTTCAAGTGATGCCGGGCAGTTCCAGCTGCTGTGCTTACTGTTGCCATGCGCCGTGTCTGCTCCCAGTGCCTTTCCAGTGCCTTTTCAGTGCCTTTTCCAATGCCTTTTCCAATGCCTTTTGCACTTTCTCGTGGCCCTGCCAGCAAAATTTGTTTCTAGTAAGTTTTGTTGAAACAAAAAGAAAAGCTATCTCTTTTTAGCAAAAAAGTGAGTCACATGGCAAAATCACTGGCAGGCGCGCGCACACCAAGAAAAGGCACTGGAAAAGGCACTGAAAAGGCACGGAACAGACACGGAGATGGCAACAGTAAGAACAGTAGCTGGAACTGCTCTTCATCTGGCTTGCTTTCCTGACGTCTGCTGTCCTCGCTCGCAACGTGTCGATGTGAAAGAGTTGTTGAGCACAGAAGATGAAAACACAAAGTACTACGGATGAAGATGTTAGACTTGATACTTACAAGCCAAAAATATGCAAACGTCACACCTTTAGACAGTAGATGGACCAAATATTCAAACCCCTGTATCAATAACTGTTGCCAGCACCTGACCCCCAAAGGTCAATGTTGAACATAACTTGATTGAATTTATGTTTCCAGGGTTTGGTTTGTTTCGTCCATTCGCCGAAACACTCTTGGAAGATCTCTAACATTGAGCTTTGGGGTAGAAGGGGTCCACGTGGTTGAAAGGGTTTGAATATTTCGTCCATCTACAGTAGTAGCTTCCTGTTGCTAGTAGCGATGGCCTCCAACCTGATAGCGATGGCCTCCACCTAGTAGCTTCTTGTTACTAGTTGCTACTAGTATGGCTCAAACGTGTGATCAGCTGACCATGCAAAACAGGGAAACAATCCGAGTATTTTTGCTCAAGACTAAACAAAACGATTGGATGGTAAGTCAGTGATATTTAAGCCACATTTCATCTTATTTAGTTGACCTCTTTTCCCGCCAACTTCCACATGAGGCTGTGCCACCTCCATGAAATCGAGCTTGCTGAGAGATGATGCCAAAGACTCAATGATATGTCATCAAAAAAGTACTCCCAACAAAAGAAAGCAATATAGCCTTGCCAATTAAAGCAAACACCCACCGCGAACTTCTTCGCAGCAAGATTATGAATCAACAATAGCCCGCCCGTTCACAAGGAAGGCCGCCTTGTCAACCACAATGTCCACAGATTCAGAAGGCACACTCATATCCATAATATCATCAACAAGCCTGAGCGCATTAGGTATAGTGACTTGGTCCTTCTTTATGATTCCCTCGAGAACTGGAGAGTCGTTAGCCAACCAGCTGTTCCATTACACGCTTCGGGTGTCTACCCAAAACACTCAAATGTGACTCAACCTTCATGCTACAAAAGAGCTGTGACACAAACCAGTGCCCGAAACAAAGGTCATATGAAAAGTGCTCGACAAAGGTCGCTTCATTCCAAGGCACCACTTTGCCATTGGCATATCTTCCGCAGTTGACTTCTGCATTTCAGCAATTGCGTGCCTCATTCTGCCATTGCCAAATGTTCTTTCACTTCATTTGCTAAAGCCGAAATCGACCAAATTGAAACCAAACAAAGTTTGGTGAAGACTCTCAACTGTTTTGCAAAGGCTACGAAAATTGTTCGGGCAAAAGGAAAGCGCCAGCGGCGAAAGCGGCTGCAATTTTGACATGATAATATTCCTTCACCTTTCTCTTCATGCAGCTTCGAAGGAATGCTCTCGCACCAAGCCAAGCCACGCAGAGATGTCTGAGCTCAACAAATTGGTATAGCCATCTGCATAGATTTCTGGACTCAGCCGATCTAAGCCACAGCCTCCAAAGGCTCTTGGCAAACCCTCCGTATCGATACCTTAAGAATGTGCAATGTTGGAAGCTAGGCACTGCAGTCTACAGCCTCTACACCGCCCTGGTTCCAGACCAAACCAAGGAAAAACCCATGTTGCTTCAGAAAGGAGAACAAAAGGAACCGATGTTGCCACAGTGCTGTAGTCAAGCACATTTTGCGTCTGCCCCAACCGGATGGTCCAAGATCGCCTACATTCAGGATAACCTTGCTGCGATCGCCAGCTGTGATGGCTTGCAGGGTCTCCTGCCGAATACAAGACCGCTCTATGACTCTCTCAAAGTCATTGCATTCTGTACAATCAACAGACAAAACAGTATCAAGTCCCAAAACCAAAAGACTTGATTGAAAATATTTGGATATTTTACATAGCACATGTCCATCGCTCCTGCAAGGGGCCTTTGTAGCCGCAAAGCCACCCAATACCACGGTCGTCAATACGATCAGGATTGGCACCTGAACAAATCAGCAGCTGGGAAAGAGCTACGGCTGGCTATCTAACTTCTCCTTGTCTCTCCAGGAATTGGAGATCAAACCCTTGTGCTGAAACTACTACTATCGCCTTCCAAACCCCTTGCAAACACACCGTCTGCAAAAGTTTCTTCTCAGTTCTAGTTTCACCTTCACGCCATTTGCCATTCAATATGGTTGGATCTGTGCTTCTTCCGTTGCGCCTTTGTCGCCGGTCTTGTAGCGCTGTTCCCAATAATCCTCGTTACAAAAGCACGAATCTTACAGCGAACATAGGGGTAAACATATTTGGTCGATTCAGTCCTCATCTTGGTACGACAATGTCTCACCAGAACTACCAGCCAAGCCCATGCGACACAACCTTCAGCACTTCTGACCAGTTGAACTCGGTTGACTTGTTTGGTGCTGCCGGTCGTTTGACAAATGCTCAGCAAATTGGCAAGCAATCCAGCCTTGAACGTGGTCCCAAAAAAGCAAATCCAAGCAGTGCCGGCCAGAATAGCAGTCCTGATTTTCCAAAAAATAATAATCAAGCTCAAGTGAAAGACTGCACATCTTTCTACATGTCCATCGTCAATGGGGGCCTTTTGCAAGTCGGCGGTGTGTCCATCCCATTGCTGATCTGTCCAATACAAGATGACCGAATGCAAGTTTAAACACAAGTGCTTCACAAGTCATGCGCATTGGAAGTGATTACCAGGACTCCATAACCAATGTTGTTGGATCTGCACCGGGAGATCAGTCATTCTTCGTGATTCTTCAACTGAGGCAATGTCTGAGTCCCACCAAGATCGAGGCACAACGCAACGCCATGTAATGTACTGTAGTGTATGATACGAACAATGATGGAAGAATATGACCTCAACTTACCGTTTATTGAAAAGAATGGTCCCAATCCTCCGGCAGTTCAAAAGTCGTAATTCAAACAGACTTGATGGCCATTTTGTTTGCAAACTGAGTGTGGTATGAAACAATTACACCGCCGTAGACCTCAAGCAGTTTGTGTTTTTCAATATCGGAACACTCTGCAACTAGAGTTTGCGACGTCCAGAGCTGGGAGACAAAGGAATGCAAGGCAGAGGCGGAAACAGCAGTCGAGAGCTGGGAGACACATGTAAATTTGAGGATTGCAAGGCAGAGGTGGATACAGCAGTTTAGAGCTGGGAGACAAATGTAAAATTAAGGATTGCAAAGCAGAGGCGGACACAGCAGCCCGGAGCTGGGAGACAAATGTAAAGGATTGCAAACGACATGCAGCCCCTCGCTGGGAGACACATGTAGAGGGCACTGCGGTCTGCCCTTTTCCGCTGGCTTTGCAGCATTTCTATTCATGTGTCTCCCATGTGATTTCTTTACTTTTCTCCAAACAGGTTACTGCCAGGGGTTTTCAATGCTTTCTAAAAGTGCCCGCCTTGCTGCGGGACAGCGTGTCCGCCTTCCTTCCGGCTTGTCACCCTTTGTCTCCCTTCTTTTTGGTGATTGCGTCCGCCTTGTCTCCCTTCTCTCTTCTTGGTCTCCGGTCTTGCCTCGCTTCTTGTGGGTCACTGTGTCCGCCTTGTCTCTTGTCTGCCTTCTTGTTGGTCATTGTGTCCATGTCTCTCGGCTGCTGTCCACCTCTGCCTCGTTTGCACTTGTCTCCCACCTCTCCACTGCTGTGTCCGCCTTTGCCTTGCAATTCTTTGCGTTTGTCACCCAGCTCTGGGCTGCTGTGTCCGCCTTTCGCTTGGATTCCGTTGCCTCTCACTTGCAATCTTCTCACATTTGTCTCCCAGCTTGTTGCCGTGTCCGTCTGGGCTGTGCCTACTCTGGACTCCCCCAGCTCTGGCCTGCACAGCGCAGGCACCGAAACTGGGAAACATGACAGCACCGTAGACCCCAAACAGGTGTTGTTTTTTGAAATCGGAACAGCTTGCAACGTCCAGAGCTGGGAGACAAAGGATTGCAAGGCAGAGGCGGCCGTCCAGAGCTGGGAGACAAATTTAAACGCAGGGAGACAAATGGAAAAGATTGCAAGCAGGGTGACAAATAAAGAATTGCAAGGCAGAGGCGGATACAGCAGTCTGGAGCTGGGAGACAAATGCAAAGGCTTGCGAGGACATATGCAAAGGATTGCAAGGCAGAGGCGGACACAGCAGTCAGAGCTGGGAGACAAATGCACAATCAGGGTTGCAAGGCAGAGGCGGACACAGCAGCCATTTAGAACCCCCGTTTGGGGAAGTACAGACATCACCTGGGAGACAAATGAATAGAAATGCTGGCAAGGGGAAAAGGGCGGATGCCAGCAGTGCAGGCACCGAACCTGGAAAACAAAAGTAAACAAACCACATGGGAAACAAATTGATAGGAGACAAATTGATAGAAACGCTACATGGCCAGCGGAAAAGGGCGGACGCCAGCAGTGAGAGACCTGGGAGACAAATGAATAGAAATGCTACATGGCCAGCGGAAAAGGGCGGACACCACCAGCGACAGACCTGGGAGACAAATGAATCAGACCTGGGAGACAAATGAATAGAAACGCTACATGGCCAGCGGAAAAGGGCGGACACCACCAGCGACAGACATGGCCAGCGGAAAAGGGCGGACACCAGCAGTGACAGACCTGGGAGACAAATGAATAGAAACCCTACATGGCCAGCGAAAAAGGGTGACAGACCTGGGAGACAAATGAATAGAAACGCTACATGGCCAGCGGAAAAGGGCGGACACAAGTAGTGAGAGACCTGGGAGACAAATGAATAGAAACGGTACATGGCCAGCGGAAAGGGCGACAGACCTGGGAGACAAATGAATAGAAGCGCTACATGGCCAGCGGAAAAAGGGCGGACACCAGTGACACAAAGGGCGGACGCATCTTAAGGAAGAATTGAAAACCCCTAACAGTAAACTGTTTGGGGAATGACTTGCAAACCTACTACCTTAAGTAAATAGACTACAAACGTTCTAAACACAAAGCGAAAGCGCGTGCAACAGCTCACAAGCAAAGTGAAAGCACTCGCACCACTTTTAAGCGCACCTTGAGCCAGCGCTCAAGTCTTGAGCCAAAGTTGAGTACAAAAGACTATGAGGTATTCCTGCCAAGCAAGTCCCATGTTTTTTTTGCACGACTCGAGCCGCCATGCATGCAGGAAGTGCACAGGTCAGCTTGTGCAATTTTGTGTAGAGTCTCCATCATGAAGGGGGGCCAAACAACAAACAAACCAAACAAAACCGACAAAGAGAAGCGCAATGATGGAGACTTTTGGATGTACATGCAAGGGTGAAACAGAAATCGGGCAAAGAATTACTGCAAAAGGCCACAAGATGGGCTATCCGAAGTGCGGTTCGACATGATTGCTGGCAACGTCAAAAGACACTTGGTCTATAGGCCTGTTTAAGCAGGCCATCACACCGAGCACTATGAAAATGTGCTCTCTGTACTCATATTGCATAGCACTTGCCAAGCAAGTCCCATGCGAGAGACTGAAAGTGTCGAGCTTAAACACACTCAAAAATGCACAAAACTGTTCAAGAAACATTCACTCTACAAAAGCTACAAAGACTTCTGTTCACAAAGCTTCCAAACATTGTGCATTCCGTGAGCTATGCTCTCCAAAGCTCTCAAAACACTTCGAAACACATTTTTGTGGCACGGGTGGAGCCGCCATTCATGCAGGAAGTGCGTAGGTCAGCTTGTGCTGCTTTTGAAAGAGTCTCCAGCATGAAGTGCCAAGCAACAAACACAACACCAACACAAACCAACACCGGAAGAAAGCAGGAGACTCTTAAATGTAAAAAACGAAATACTTCGAAACACAGCGTTCCACAAGGAACGCATACTCAAAACACTTGAAATGCAAAACCTCACAGCTGCTGCCACACAAAGCGCTTGAAGATGGGCGCTGTCGTTCTCAAAACAGTTGCTCTTCACAAAGTTGTTTTTTTTGCACGGGCGGCCGTTCATGCAGGAAATGCATAGGTCAGCGTGCGCTGTTTTTGAAAGAGTCTCTTGCGTGAAGCACAACAGACTAGGGAGGAAAGCAGTAGACTCTTGAGTGTAAAAGCAAGGTGAAACCGGTGTGAGACAAAAATAGGCCGTTGAATTGGTGCAAAAAGGCAACATGAGAAGCCTGGAGCCAAGTCGAAGTTGCTGACACTGTTTCTGGCTTGGTTGATTGGCCTGAACGGGTTGACCACCTTATGAGCAAGAGAAGCAGGTGATTCTCATGCCCGGGATGTTGCTTTGCGCTGCAAAGGCGTGAGCAATCAGATCAGACCAACTTTAACTGGGAAGGATATTTCAGGTGCGTTTCTGTTCTCTTATGCCCAAATTCATGACTCTGGAAAACCACAAATGACAAATCTTTTTTCCACGAGCACGGACGCCGTGTGGCCATGGTGCCCAGGTCATCATTGAGGGAAGGGAAAAAAAAAACACAAATGACAAATCGGCTCCAACGTGCCAAACGAAAGGGCAATCCATTTTCAGCAGTCTGTCGTGGAAGGAGCAACCTGCTGTCTCTGGTGTTCGGAAAGTCAAAAGAGCCCCACTAAAACTGAGCGCAGTCAAATCGAAAGCCACGAAGCCGGTTTGTGTGATGGCCGCAACAAGACAGCTGCAGAGCACACCCTGCCACCAGACCCCACAACTGCAAGCTTACGTCTCCACCGGACTTGATTCCCTGTCTGTTGTCCGACTAAAGACGAGGTGGCAGAAAATACCTGCATGCGGAGCTGCAACTGGTCCAAGGCATTTGTGCAAGAGTCCCCAGTCAGTAGGGACCCAGCCTCATCCGAACAGCTAGAAGAGGCACAAAAACGCCCCCGACCTGGACAATGACCAAAGGAATGCAGAAAGAGGAAGCACTGCCACCACTGATTTACAGTTAGAAGCAGAGAGCAGGGAGGGAAGAACAGTCTGATGGTGGAGAAAAGAACAAGGACAACCGACACACCCAAAAAACCAAACAAACCAAAGCCCACAGGCCGAGTCTCCACCACCAAACGGGTGAAACGAAAACTAGTGACCAGCAATGGGCCTGAATTCACGAACGAAAAGCATGTCGGCGCAGGTCTGTGCTCCAGCAAAGTCTCAAAAAGGGCTTCAAAAGGACTTTACTTCACGATTGCTAGTGACCAGCGGCCACACCACAGTGCGGCAAAACCCTGGTCACGATGCAGGTCAGGAGCATCGCAATGCTCCAACGCCGGTTGCGTCCATGTCAAAATGGAGCAGCGTAGCTGTGCTGCATGCCGTGGAAAAGACCTTTCTTGTGGCACAACCCGTGCAACTGGTTGCACTTACAAGTCCAGTGGCTGTTACCAGGCGGTGATCAATCAGTGGCGGCCATAGCAAACGACGAAAGCCTGCAGGTAAGGGTGCGAAAGGGCACACCCCCCCGAAGAGAGGTCAACTCATCACCCTTTGGCACTCAAAGGTGCCAAAAAACAACAAAAACCAAGGGGTGTCTTCCAGATCCGTGAAGTGCTGCGCCATTGCAAAAGGTGATCGGCTGCGTGCAAGGCCCGTGTGAAACAGGTGAAACTTTGGACAATCGTAGCATGGTATCTGTGCCTCTTTGTGCAAAATTGGAAATGTCGGACATCAACAAGGGGAACTAACCCCCTGGGCATCCTCCATTGCCACTCTCTACCACCCGCCTGTTGGAACGAGGAGCTAAG